TTACCTTTTGCAAATGTTTAGTCCAAACTTGCAAAACTCTTCCAGTCGTGTTTGCTATTGCAGTTTATCTACATGCACTCAAGCTTTTGTTTCCTGCTTCATCAGGGTGGTATGACCTACACAAAGGCAGGAAAATGACTGGTCTCCTGTCCTCACCAGCTCATCTCTCTAGTTTTTCAGTCTCTTCATCTAGAAATGTTTGAGACAGACATGGTGGTACACATCAGTCGCAGCGCTCCAGAGGCAGAGCCAGGAGGATCTGGGATTCAAGACTAGCCTGGTGTACATAGTGAGTTCCACCCAGCCAGCCCTACACAGTGAGACCCTATCCCTCCCCCCCAAAAAAAACCTTGCAAAAGCAAGATTTACAGCTCAAGATCAATATATAAATACACATTATTTATACATATGTATGTATATATTATGTATATTTAGAGAGTGTCTCTTTGTAGCCCTGGCTGTACTGGATCTTGATAGGTAGACAAAGGTGGTTTCAAACTCAGATCTGCGGACTTGTCTTCCAAGCGCTGGGACTAAAGGTGTGCACCACCACACCCAGCCACTGACCCAGCATCTTGACCTGGCCTATCAACTCAAAACTCCTCAGTTTGCAATGAGAAGCACAAAAATGACATGTTCAATTCCTATCATTTTTGGCAGAGTAATTTTATCTGAATCTATAAGTTTAGGAAGCTCTGGCTATTGTCTTGGATAGCCTTTTACTTGGATAAGCTTCACCCTGGGAATACACTTTCCTGATCACGGTATCCCCTTTTAAACATCTGTTCTAGTAAGAGCTGATTTACTGCAGCTGATGAGAATACTGATATATTCCAAGCACTTGAACAATGACAATATCAATGAATGTTAATAAGGGGGAAATTTTTTTTTTTCAAGACAGGGTTTCTCTGTGGTTTTGGAGCCTGTCCTGGAACTAGCTCTTGTAGACCAGGCTGGTCTCGAACTCACAGAGATCCACCTGCCTCTGCCTCCCGAGTGCTGGGATTAAAGGCGTGCGCCACCACCGCCTGGCAAGGGGGAAATTTTTTGAGGGGTTCCACCTGAAGACGAAGAACTAAAGGAAACTAATTGACCTCTCCCAGGGATGAGTTCCCATACTGTTTATCCAATGAAAAGTGGACAGCCCTGAAATCACATACATGAAATATGAACCCAGCAATTTCATATTGTTTGTGAATGCACACACACATGCATGTGTAAAACAGCACAAAAAAAAGTACTAACTTGTGGGAGGACACGGGAGGTTCAGAAGGGGGAAAGTGACAAAATTCTATTTCAACTAAACACAAATTACAAAGCTTTAACTGTATGAATGTGCTGCCTGCATACACGTGTACAAGCATGTAATTCTCATCATGAGGGTGTTGAGTCCCCTGGAACTGAATTTAAAGACAGCGAGATGCCATGTGGGTGCCGGGGACTGAACACTCAATACTGCTGGGCCATCTCTCCAGCCCTTACTTCTGAGGTTTTGCTGTTGTTTTAGGCCACTGTGAATGGGATGGCATCCCCTGATCTTTCTCAGCAAGTACAGAAAAACTAGGACCATCAGTGCATGGTGGCACATACCTTAACCCCAACCCAAGTTCAGTGGCCAACCTCTTCTACACTGTGAGACCCTGTCTGGGGGGGGACACGACCCAAAAACTAAAGTTTTTGTTGTGTGTCCTAGGAGTGTGAGCGGAGGAGGCACCACTGTACTGTATCTTTTGAAGGACATGCTGGCTTCCCCATCAGTACTGCTTTGTTATATTGAGTTCTGTTTGTTTCTTCAGGGCTTGTTACCATGAAGGGAGGTCACACTTTGTCAAAGGCTTTTTCTGCATTACTGAGATTACTGGACTTGAGAGGAATCTTAAATGTCTCTAACTATGCTTGTGTCCATGGGCTGAAACTTACTGGTTCTGGTATCTTGAGCTGTGCATGAGCTCAAGAAGTCCAGAATACTTTTGGCTTTGCTGGAGCTGTTAGAAGCCACTCAAAACCTGGGTCATCTGATTCGACTTTTAATAAATAGGGAATAAGACTTAAAACTTGTTACATGCTGGTTCAATGTGTTCATAGCACATTTGTTACTACATGTTAACCATTCAACCTCTAACATTTCACCTAACTAGTCTAGCGTCTTTCAAACCTGCCTTCAATTTTCACTAATTCTGTTTTATTTTAAACCAATCTGCTTTGAGCGCCACACCCTCTTATGCTGGGACTGAAGGCATATGGTATCACAGCCCAGCCCTCATTTCAATGATCTTGCATTCCCACTATAGACTGTCAATGGAAAGTTTATAGTTTTATACACTTATTTTTTTTAAAGATTTATTATTCTGCCTCCGTGTATGCCCATACACCAGAGGGCCAGATCTCATTACAGATGGTTGTGAGCCACCATGTGGTTGCTGGGAATTGAACTCAGCCATCTCTCCAGCCCCTATAGACTTTTTTATGCATCTATACTTACTTGGCACTGTGGTTAGCACTTACTGCATACTAAATTGAACAAATGAAAAGCTTTTGTGTGAGGGGGAACAGACATCGGGGGTTAGAGGACAACTTGTGGAAATTGGTCCTCTACCGTGTCTTTTCTTGTTGGCTTTTTGAGACAAGGTTTCTCTGGAACTTGCTCTGTACACCAGGCTGGTCTCTTTAACTTGGAGATCCGCCAATCCCTGCCTCCTGTGTGCTGGGATTAAAAGGTGTGCCACCACACCTTTAAGATTAATTAAAATCATCAGGCTGACCTCCTGGGATTACAGACAGGAATTCAGTCAAGATACTTATCACCCAGGCAGCAGTAAAGACACTTCTGACAGATGAAAGGAAAATAGAAAGAAAACTGGAAGTCAGGAAAGCACAGAACTCAGCTGAAACACAAGCATTCATGGGAGAGCCTAAAGGCAGGAAGGGAAAAGATCCAAGCAGAGCCAATGGTGCCTCTTCCGCTTCAGTAGCAACAGTGGAGGGGTGTGGGGAACTCAGTCACACAGTAGCATGTATTCATCCAGGAGAATAAAGGCATCAAATTTACTTATTTGACTTGTGGCACAAATGCAAATCTCTTATGCTCACTAATTTAACATCGAAATTCTCACCAACAGTTCTATGCATCATATACAAGCATAGTGTTTGATTTTTTTCCCCTAGGGATATCTAGTCCACCTACAGGGCTCACGTGATCTTACCTCAGCTACCTTTTAGCTGAGGAATCTAGTCATTCCAATCCTGGTTTGTTAAACAGAAAACCAGCAAAGCATCTTCTAATTTAAGCCCATCCGAGAATATCAGAACATAGCATTTTTCATGCTTACTAGACACCTAGTCAAAACAAGCAAACAAAAACCCCAAAGCAACCAACCAACCAACCAGCCCCCAAAATGACCAGGAGCAGAGATAGAGTCCCTGCCAAGCAAACTTCAATAAAAAAATTGTACAAGACCCCTACTGATGGCTTCAGAGTCAAATCTATAAAGGGCTGTATGTAAACTTCTACCTTCAAATGTTTGTGAAATTCTCTAGTTTTTGGTCGATATCAAGCAACAGAAAACTTTCTGAATGTTACTAGACAATTAAGCAAACTTTTATTGAAGTTTACATTGTGGTACAGAAATACATTTCAACCGATTAAAAGTCCAACAACAAAGAAATTATGGCACCAAAACTTCCCCTCTTGCAATCAAACTAGGATCACTATCCAATCTACAGTTTGTTTTCTAGGCTTTCTTTCCACACAAACCTATGCAAACTTCAATATTAGAATTCATAATTCTATAAGATGGGAGAATCAGACCGCAAACCAACAAAATCTACTGGGTTACAAAGTTAGCTTAAATAAGCACTGGCCCTCCAAATAGCAGTCCAAAACATTAGCTGCTGTGCTCACTATAGAACCACACTGATAAAGCTGATTGGAGGCTTCCCCAACGAAGCCTTCAATCAACAGCATGCTTAAAGTAAAAATCCAGACAGTGTTCCAACCACTTGATTCCAAACCAAGTAGATTCTATGTTTAGAAACGCTAAAAAAGTGTTTCATTATAAATACAGAAGGAACAAGACATCACTTTATCAGTCCAGAAACACCAAGAAAACAGTACAAGGGCAACAAATAGGAAATTTTAGTCCATTCTGCTCTTCTCCCAGCAGTTTATATACCACAATATCTGCAATTGCCACTGACATGCCAGCTCTTGAAAGCCTGTGTTTCTAGCCCCAGCCCCACTGACTATCTGTGTGTGCATATACGTTTACTATCTGGACAGTCCTCACTCTGGGCAGCCTTTCATTTGGTCATGTGAACAGCATGGTAAAGGAAGACCACACAGGAAAAGGTTAAGTCAGAACAGCTCACATGCATTACACACAAAAATACAACTTCTAAGTCACAGATAGAAATGCCACAGATTCTGTTTTGAATCAAATTTTCCTTTTAGTAGAAACTGATGGCAACAGGTTAAAAGTTGACAGTGCGTACTGAGGTCAGAATGTCTAGGATTGACTATATGCTTGACTTAGCGGACTTACTTCCTCCTGCCACTACTTAACAAGTTAGTGAAGGCATGGCAGGCACTCCATGAGAGCTAATTCAAGTACACTTCATAGCCTACTGTTTCCATCGAGTCTTTAATGAGTTCTCCCTGCTAACCCACCCCTGGAGAGAAAATGCTTTTCATTTGATACATTCAGTTTTGTCATTTGTCTTCCACAGTTCAACTCAATAAGAAGACATTATGTCTTAACAAAAAAAAAAAGGTCAGAGACCATCTCCGAAATCCCCCCACTTGAGGGGGGGATATTTTAAGTCCAGTGTAATAGTGTATTGCTTTAATTGGGGGGTGGGGTGGGCTTGAATTGAGAGAAGAGGGAAAGATTTTGGTGACAGAAGAAATCAATCACAGGATTATAAATGCAGGAAGAACAACTATTAAAACAGTAGAACACAAAACAGTCACTGGAATCAGCATTTTCTTACAAGGACTCAACTTGTGGAAGAAAAACTTTAATTGCCATTGCATAAAACACCTGTATGAAGTAAAAATTGGTTTTGAATAACATTAGTAGAGAATATGCTCTAGAAAGTGGAGGTAATTGGATGTAAAAACTCTGGCAGGAATTTAATAGAACAGTCGCAGATGTTCAGTTGAGGCCAGCATCTAATGAGGACGAAAGCCTTGTCTGTGGGGGATTTTGGATGATGCCTGCAGAAATATTACACTGTGCATAAACCAAATTGAATCATTTTCACAAGTGTTGTAGAGATTCATACAGTCAAAGTTCTTTTCTACATGCACTTCAATTCCACAGCAAGAGTGGCGTAGAACACCTAAACACAGAAGAGAGCATTCATGCAAGATATCTAACTCCTTGATAGAATAATGCATACACTTCAAAATGATTACACTATCATTACATCTAGGGCTTTCTGCAACTATAAGGTGGTGGTCATGGAGAGCACAGCCCCCAGGATCAAAATCTAGAAAGCAGCCACCACCTCCTGTGTGTCTTCTCTTTTTGCGTTTTTTCTTCTTCATTTTTCTTAATCAACTCTGCTGTTGTTGCTGCTTCTTAGCAAAACTGGTAAAAACAAAATTGTAATCATTGAACATAGCACTCTGGCAATCAAGACGTTTAAAACCTTCAATCTTCTGGGGTGAAGAAAGCACTGTGCGACATTTAGAACTCTGGGGAAAGATGGAAACAAGCATGAGTACTTCCAATCTCCAGATTATTTTCAGACAACAGTGATGCTGTGAATAGATGACTACCTCACTCTTAACTGCAGCAGCAATAAAAAGATTTATTTTCTTAGTGCATTTATTTGTGTATGTAGATGTCATGTGGTGAGACAGGGTTGTATGATTCCTTGCCATCTCTGTGTTTTGTGAGCCAGCTGATGTGGGTGCTGAGATCTGAACTCGGGTCCTCTACTAAGGGTGCTCTTAACTGCAGTCTCTCTCCAGTCCCAAACTAAGGCATCTTTTTTCTTGTGGGCTGAAAAGCAGGCTGTCTTATGGTTTCTGACCAGGCTGTCAACAGGGAGCAATGATAGAAAGGAGCTTGCTAACTGGGTGCCATATAAAACAAGGATTGCTGAAAAATCTAATGAAGTATGTAAGGTTTCTCTGCTCCAAGTAACCCCAGTGAATGGCACCCAGCTGTCACCCTGTTATACATTCGTGGCAATCCCATTACCCCATTCACCTTGAGGTCTTATCACTCCTAGCTGCCAGATTATAGTTGGGCTGGGAAGTATTTGCCTAGCATGTGCAAGATATGGTCATAAGAGAAAAAGAAAACAGAAGTCAAATTACCTGATTAACAAACAAGGTGGTCACAAATTTTCCTGGCTTGAAGACTTCCACAACCTTCCTGATCAGGTCATCATAGGAGGTCTGACTTAAGTTTGTTTCAAAGCTAACATAAGAGAATTCTGGTTCTGGAGTGATGTGAATAGTCCAATATGTTCCCTTAGAGAAAAGTTTTATTGTTATTAGTAATACAAAGGGAAAATACAAATATTAAGACAATTACGGAAGATTCTAATTACTTACATCTGATTTCATTCCATTCATCGAGTAGCCACAAGGATTGAACAGTGTGGCATCAATGACAGAACCTGGTATCAGGTCACGAATTCCACTCTCACGAGTGACATCCTTTGCAGTAACACCATCTTTCATGTAGAACTGGTCCATAACTGCTGGGTCAAGCTCACTCATCAGAATTTCCAGGGTTTGATCTGGCTGACTGATTACTCGGCTCTCTGGGAAATCCAAAGTATACAAGTACCTAGACAGAAGCAGAACATAATCCACAGACAGTTCAGAATAAGCCTTACATTGGTTCTTTCAAGAAGCCCATGTCCAGCCATGCAGTGGTGGTGAACACCTTTAATACCAGCACCTGGGAGGCAGAGGCAGGTGGATCTCCAAGTTCGGGGCCAGCCTGGTCTACAGAGTGGGTTCCTGGTCAGCTAGGGCTACAGAGAAAACCCTGTCTCATAAAACAAAACAAGCCCATGTCTCCCTCTCATAACGGCCACACTTTAAACCTCACAGCAGTTTGTGGATGCCTGTTAAGATCAAGTCAGTCAACATTCCAGCCTGGAGTGGAAGGGGGGAGGGGTGTCACAAGGCCCCAACCTCAATAGAAAAGCCAGTGACAACTGATGGCTTTTGAGGGAAGAGTCAGCTTTCTTTAAGGGTTCTAAGTGGCTGACCAAACTCCAGTGGATAGCTGCTCAAACACCCAGGAATCCAAACACTCACTCTACCACAGAACCACACCCCCATCCTTTTCCCTTTTTGTCTCACTATATGGCCTTTGCTGGTCTTGTTCCTCTTCCCTCAGCTTCCAGAGCAGCTGGGATTAGGAAGCATAGGCTACCAAGGTCTAGCTTAAAAAAACACTACTTCCATTTCCTCAAAACCCACACATATGGGCAACAAAACCAAATCAAAATTACATACCAACAGTCAGAATTCATACGTCCCATACAATATGCTGCTCCATCTGTAAGGAAAGAAGATATTTGGTTCATTATTAGCCATTTAATAAACAGTATTATTTGGCACCTATTAAAAACATCAGTGAAGAGAAATTAAAGTGGGTGAATTCTTAGAATGCTGTTTTAAAGGTCTGCTGTATGAGCTGCTGGCACCACATGGCATCACCGCCATGCCGACACCAGGAACCAAATCCGGGTCCTTGGCAAGAGCAGCAACTGCTCACACCACCCAGTTCTTCCCCTTTGCTCTTAAACACCCTTTTTTTTTGGGGGGGGGGGGGAGGCTACCACTGATACTCTTGAAATGTAAATGGTTGCAACAACTACCAGAAAACTTTACCTTCTTCCTAAACTCCCACAGAGCAGAGAATTGGCTACTTTCCTAGTTTTCTAATCAAGATAAGCCGTTTTACTTACATATCCTTCCCAAACTGTTTCAAAATTTCCCTTAGCACAGTAAACCAACTTGGAAATGACACCAAGTAAATACCCACCACTCTCTGGCAGCACGTAGTGTCTGAGGTCATAAATTACTGGCAAATGTCTGAAGTCTTTTTATTTCTTGAAGTGTTGAAGATCAAATTCAGGGCCTCATACATGCTAAGTATGCGTTCACCACTACTTGTGAGCTACACATACCTTACCCTTATATTTTCACCTTTAAAGCCATTCCTGTAAGTGATTTTGCAAAGTTATTAAGACGTCTTAGGTTTAGCGCCATCTACCTCATTTTTTGGGATACTGGCCCAAAAGTCTGCAGAATAGGCTAGGCTGTGAGCCACAGAACCTACCAGTCTCTGCATCTACAGTACCAGCACTACAAACTCATTCCACCACACCTGGTTGGGCCTGTTCTTATTTTAAATGTAGATCAAATTTGGGTCCTTGTATAGCCAGCAACTTACAATTGTACTCTCTCCCCAGCTGCTGTCTTTGAAACAAGTTCTCATTATATAGCCCAGACTAGCCTTGAATGTTGAGGCTCAAGGGCTCCTTCAGTCTAGTTAGTAACCAGGGAACAGGTACAAGCCCCCTTGTCTTGCTTCCCATGACATTCTGTCCACCTTAACAGCACTGACATTATTTTTACAAGTGCACAATACAACTTGTAAACCCACAACCAAAATTTGTCTGAGATCTTTAACACCCAGGTAAAGAAAAACAAAGCATAGAGAATATAGTGCTAACCCCCCCACCCGTCCTGTAGGAAATAATTCAAACAATCCCATGAGTTCTAGTCCAGCCCCAGACCTCAAAGATCGTGAGACCCTGCTTCAGAGATCACAACAAAACACCCATGCATCTTTAAATAGTTGCATCCCCAACTTTAAAAGACAAGAATTACTACATTCTATTTTTACTTACTTGGGAAAATTGCATTAAGAAACTCGATTTCTTCCTGGAAATTCCGGTGTGGGTACCCTTGGTGAGAAGGCTTCATGAAATTCTTACGAGAATAAAAGAAGCTCTTAAAAGAAAGAAGAGAGATCTTTAAGATTTTTCCCCTAAATCAATTTTCTACATATAGAAAAGACAAGAAAATAAAAATGTTACAAATATTCCAACTGTGAAGCACAAATTAGCGACCAGAATGACATTAAAATGCATACTTTCACTACTGCAATGGACTTTTTAAGCTGGAATTGAAAACAGATCTCACGATTTTCTTACATGGAAAGTGTTTTAATACTCAACACTAAGTGCCTATGTTTTAGATTTCTTACAAGGATAGTTGAGTAATTATTCCTAACTATACTAGTGGTGCAGGTATGCTGGTTCACAGCTTCAATCTTTGCACCAAGGACACTAAAGCAAGAGTGTAAGTTTGAGACCAGCCAGGGCTCCAAAACCAGACCTCCCTCACTTCCACTCCCCCAAATAGGCTAAGTGCAGTAATGTGCACCTACTAATGAACTCCAGAAGAAAGGCAAGAGAACTGAGTTTGAGACAAGCTTAGGGTATGCCCCAAAACACCATTAGCAGGGCAGTTAGTATAGTTTAGTGACAGAACATTGGATTAGCACCATGTGAAGCCTAGGGTTCAGTCCCAACCACAGGTGCAAAGAAACCAATTCTGACATCAATAACATTCCTTTCTTTGAGGTAAGATACTGAAATCTAACCAAAACAAAAACCATTATCAGTTTTAAACATGTCCAGCACTTACTTGAATTGAGTCAAACCCACTGTAATCCCTAGCAAGCTTCAACAGGGGAACCAGTGCTTTCAGTAAGAGGGTGGTACCACATGTCTTCAAAATGAAACGTCTCTTGGAGACAAACATGCTACTCTCACTGCAACAGAAAGGCAAGCGATCATTACCCCAGCATGTATTACTGAGAATACAATTAGTGTAATGCACATCAATATTTGTAATTTTTACATCACCATTGGATATACTTTATATGTATTCATCACCAAAACCTAATAATCGACAACAAAATTAGAACTAGAAAATTAGCTCTATATCCGTTTATAGTTCATATATATAACCTACATTCAGTCATTCCTCATTCTACACATACACATGTTAATTCTGAACATGTGGAGTACATGCATTTACCCTGAGATTGTGTGATTTTATTTTCCTTTAGAGTGAATAGAATTCAGTTTTATTTCCCATTCACTCTTTTTTTTTTACTTATTTATTATGTATACAACATTCTGCCTCAGTGTATGCCCGCGCACCAGATCTCATTACAGATGGTTGTGAGCCACCATGTGGTTGCTGGGAATTGAACTCAGGACCTTTGGAAGAGCAGGCAATGCTCTTAACCACTGAGCCATCTCTCCAGCCCCCAGACTTAAGTTTTAAAAAAAGATATTATGTATATTTATTGCAAGGCCCAAGGTTTACAGTATAAACTATTCAAAGCATTTATTGGTTAAACCAACCTTGGACCTAATTTTCCTTCATCCAACAGATGTGGGTACCATGATGACAGCTAGGTTAAGGCAAGGCTTTAAAAAAAAAAAAACAGATCTAGAAACAAAAAAATTATATTTCACACCAGATTCTTAAAATGGAAAACAGATTCCAGTAGAAGAGTGGTATTTCACAAAGACTATGATCAGGACAGCAACTCAACACTTACAACACTTACCTGAGTACATAAGCTTCCTGCTTGTCAGTCTTTGTCACACTTATGATTGAGCATTGCACATCCTTCAAAAGGACATCCCACTCAGATCTGTTAATGTAATGAAACTCACAATTAACAACAGTACTATTTCTACCAAATTTTACTCTTTAAGACCTTAGTCCTCCATTGTTAGAGATGGAACCTGGTCCATAAGAGGTAAGTACTCTACCACTGAGTTGTATTTCTAGGCTCTTAGGAATTTTAAACAGAAAATGTGACATAGTAACTAAAACCATTTAATCTATATTTGAGATAGCCTGGAATTCATGTACACAGGCTGGCCTCCAAGAGATCTGCCATACCTCTGATTACTAAGCAAGCACTGTTATTATGACCATTTCACTTTTTCTTCTTCTAACTTAAAAGCCAAAGGGGCTCACCTTATCTGGGAACTGGAGCTACAGATAGCTACAGATGGTTCTGTTGTCTAAACTGGGAACCCAATCTATGTCCTCTGGGAGGGCAGTCACTGCTCTTTATCATGGGGTCCTCTCTCCAGCTCTCCATTACTATTAGAAGCAAAGAGTGTGTATTTCTTTTTTTAAAAACCATGCTCTTTTTCTTTTGAGACAGGGTTTCTTTGTGTAGCCCGGGCTAGCTTTGGACTTGGGAGATCCACCTGTCTCTGCCTCCCAAGTGCTGGGATTAAAGGCGTGTGCTACCATCACCCAGCTTTTTTTTTTCAGTATCTTAACAGTTACTTCAATACTTACATTCTAGACCTTATACTTCCTTGCTGGGATTAGAGCTGTTCTCTGCACAGGGTACAAACATCCTTGGCCTTTACCTACTCCCACCCCCAAGCTATGCCAACCAAAACATCCCCAAATATTGCCAAATGTCTCCTGGTAACAATTGTCCCCAAATAAGAAACACTGACCTAAGTCAATGAGAAAGTATCCTTTAAAAACAAAAATTATATACAAGAATATCTGATTTACGTATTTGTTTTTACTAAGCTTTGATAATTTAATCATTTCCAACCACTAAACTAGTATGTGATCCTAATAGGTTGGTTTTGTTGGCTACCAATTTGAATCCCATGCTTAAAATCCGCAATATCAAGACTTACAAACAGACCAATATGGTGAAAGTTAATACAGGCTAGTAATCTTGGTGCAGAATTAGGAATAAGGCACATATCTTCAACGATTATTACTGATTACACTAGACTTTCTAAACAGATAAATACCTAACTCAGAAATGCCTTAGCTAACTATAAAGTCCTACTCTCTTCATATCATGTGGACAGCAATAAAACCTTCCCTCTTTAAAAAACAAAGAAACAAACAAATAAACCTGTCAGCACACCTTCCTGTAAAGCTAGCAGGTAATTATTCCAAGGCAGACAACATGTTCTTAAACGACTCAGTTCTGCCCTCATCAGCAAAAATTACCATCGATGTTAATTAATAGACTGTCAGAGGTTCCAACAAGGCATTATTTACAAAAAGTGTATCTTTCCACATTTCTTTTTTTTGGGCCTTTGGCCGTAAATGTATATGCACCTTCATAAATCATTTGGTTGCTAAGCCAACTGACTTAAGAGTTTTAGGTCAGTGCTTCCCTTTATCCCATGATAGAAGAAAAACTACTGACTACTCTGAACATCACCATTGGTTGAAGAAGCATGACTGGCTGCTACTAAGATGGAGGAAACAAACACTATATAGTTATCTCTTACTAAATAGAACTTAACTGTCTAGTTAAAAGCTGTGTGCTGCTCGGCACCTGTGAATATGCTTTTAACCTAGCAATGGAGAGGCTAAGGCAGCTCCAGGCCAGCCTGAACTGCACAGTTGTCTGGAAACAAAAAATAATCATATAAACTAATCACAAGATGATATTAAGCATCTCTGTAGTACTTATCAGGCTAAATTCCAATCCCAGCCCTCCTCAAAGTGAAAGTGAGCAGCAATTACGGAACCGTATAGATCCCCTTCCCACACACAGGAAAGTTAGCTCTAGAAGAATACTCCCAGCATAACTTATACTAGCCTAAAAAAGGAAACCATATCAAAAGAGCACATTAACATTAAACAGCCACAAATACTCTATCAAAGTCAAGACCACACAGTTAAAAAGGCAGAAGGGAAGCTGGAGAGATGGCTCAGTGGTTAACAGTAGGTTACTGCCTACTCTTATAGAGGACCTGGGTTTGATTCTCAACACTCACATGGAGCCCTGTATTTCTGACTCTACCACATCATTATTCTTTATCATTTTTATACTGCAGTAGGTATACATAAGCTACAGACTTTTTTTTTTTTTGGTTTTTCAAGACAGGGTTTCTCTGTGGCTTTGGAGCCTGTCCTGGAACTAGCTCTTGTAGACCAGGCTGGTCTCGAACTCACAGAGATCCGCCTGCCTCTGCCTCCTGAGTGCTAGGATTAAAGGCGTGCGCCACCATCGCCCGGCTGCTACAGACTATTTTTAAAAGACTTATTATTACTGTGTGTTTTGCCTGTATGTATGGCTGTGTACAACATACATTCCTGGTGCCCACACAGGGACTATGAAATCAGATTCACAAGATAAAAATACTTGAAACTCAGTTGGGTAGTGGTGGCGTGTGCCTTTAATCCCAGCCCTAGGGAGGGAGGCAGGAGGAACTCTGTGAGTTCAAGGCCAGCCTGGTCTATAAAGTTGAGTTCCAGGACAGCCAGAGCTATTGCTGTTAACACAGAGAAACCCTGTCTCAAAAACAACAAAAAAACTAAAACACACACACAAAACAAAAATACCTGAACTATAGTGAATAAACAAAAATGTACACAAGGAGACAGAACAATGCCAGTAGGCAGACAGAATGAAATCAGATCCAAGAGAAGAGCTACATCCAGTCACCTGAAAGGTTCGTAGAAATGATGGTACAGGGATTCTATTGCCAGAGACTATCTGAACAAGGTGGCCTGAGATTTTAATCTATAAATCCAAGTGATTATATATCACTTCCTAAGTAAAATGCCTGGTTTCAAAGTTCAGTTTACCTAGTCACTGCTTAAAATTCAACAAAAGGCTGGAGAGATGGCTCAGCGGTTAAGAGCACTGCCTTCCAAAGGTCCTGAGTTCAATTCCCAGCAACCACATGGTGGCTCACAACCATCTGTAATGGGGTCTGGTGCCCTCTTCTGGCCTGCAGGCATACACACAGACAGAATATTGTATACATAATAAATAAATATTTAAAATAAAATAAAATTCAACAAAAGCTACCAAGTTAGTAGTGAGCACAGAGTTTGACTAAGGTCTCTTTCTGAGAATCTTATACTCAGGCCATCACTAACCCTAACCAAGGTAGTCCTTGTGTCAAGTTACAAAACACATAGTACTGTAGCTGCTCACAACAACCTCCAAAAGCAACCACTGTGCAGAGGCAGGGAGATTTCCACAGTTCAAAGGCCAGCCTAGTCAACACAGTGAGCTCTAGGACTATTTAGAAAGACCCTGCCACCAAAATAAATAAATTATTTATTTATTTGGGGGGGATTCAGGGCTACTACCCACATTAGGTGGCTCACACGTATGTACTCAGGTTCCAGGGAATCTGATGACCTCTTCTGCCCTCCAGCACCAAATCCAAGTGCGTGCACAGCCCCAAACAACTAATAACTAAAGCTTATTCATGTGCTCCCTTCACGTGAAGTACTCTAAAGGGGCATTTTGTCTTAGCACTAAAGCTTGGAAAGATGGATTCATTTTGCTTCAAGGGTCTCTTCTATTCCCTCAAACCATCCATACACAAAAATCACTTTCAAGTGGGTTTTGTATCTAAATATGAAATGTAAAACCATCATGGGAAAACATCTTCCAGACTGAGATTAGCAAAGATATTTAAAATAGGGTATTACAAGAGCTACCATGGAAAATTATTACCAATAAACTAAATGTATGCACACGCATGCAGTAGCCAGATGACAATTTAGAAGTGTCTGTCTCCCTTCAGACAGGGCTCATGAATCAGCCCACCTCTTACGGGACCCTGCCTCCAAAGCATGAAGCATGATTAATAAAAGCTCAGAGAGAGAAATTGGGGTTCAACCTTAAGATCTAAAAAGCAAGCCAGGCCAACCTGGTCTACAAGAGCTAGTTCCAGGAGAGACTCCAAAGCTACAGAGAAACCCTGTCTTGAAAAACTACATGGGAAAAAAATCTTAAAAGCAAGTCAGCCAGCCACTGGCTCTTACCTTGACCTCAGTATGAAATGGCAATCCTGCATTCATGAATCTCAGAATGAGACTGTTTCTGAGAGCTGTCTCCTCCCGCATTATAATCCTCTGTAATTCTGGAATTAAATATGTGTACCTCTACTGCCTGGTTCCTATGGCAAGCTAGTGCATCTACTGGGATTAAAGGTGTGTTATTGCTGCCTTGTGTATAAGGCTGGCCAGTGTGGCTGCATTACTTTTCTGATCGTCCGGCAAGTTTTATTTATTAAAATACAAGTGAAATGCCACTATTCAAGTACAAACTTAAACAAACAACCCCCCCAAAAAACCAGAATCAAAACAAAACAAAAAAATGGGTTCTGCACTGCAGAGAGATCAAGTTCAAACCCTAGTACTTGGCCAACTCCCGAGTATCTGCCCAGCTCTAAACCCTAAAGTCCCAGTCTCCTGATAGGATTACAGGTGAGCAGCACTTCCTCAGGCAGTGGAGCAAACCTGAAATCCCAGCAACAATCCTGGCAATATACAGGCAAGACACCACCTCAAAAATGAAACAAAATGAAAGAAAAATATGTGAATCCAAATTTACTTCTTAAAAGAGCATTCCAAGGATACAAGACGGATTGGGAGGGGGGATCACTTTGCAGATCAGGCAAACTGCAAGCTCATAAAGATCCAGGGCCTCTGTACCTGAGCACCAAGATTAAGGCACACGTCACCACATTCATCAAATTTTATCATTATTGTCTATGTGTATCTGACATGCATGCCACGATGTACTTGTGTATGTCAAAGGACAACTCTGGGAGGTGTCTCTCCAACTTTTATTGTGAGCTTCTGGGATGAAACTCAGTTTCCAGGTTTGCTCAGCAAGTCTTTATCCACTAGAGTTCTTGCTAGACTGAAATCTTACAAACACTAGAAGATGTTCAAGTCCACCATTCAGCAACACGTGTGTGTGTGTGTGTGTGTGTGTGTGTGTGTCTATGAGGCCCTGGCTACCCTGGATCTTGCTCTTGTAGAGAGAACTTCAATGCCTACCTCTGCTTCCAGGATGCTAAGATTAAAAGCATGTGCCACAACATCCAGCATTGCATTCTTGAAAGCTGCCCCCCAGGCAATATATTCCTCCATCTGTTAGGCCTTCAGTCTACCACTGACCGGTCTTGCCAGATGAGTTTGCACTTCTGTTTTACGGAAATGAAATCTAACAGCGTGCACTTTAGTCTGGCTTCTTTTCTCAGCATATCTGTTTTCAACAGCATTCATGTGGGGTTTTTTTTTTTTGGCATATATGGTTCATTTATTGTTGGGTAGCATTCTGTTGTATGGCTTTACAGCTATCCATTCGCTCTTTATTTTATTAAAGGTATGTACCAATTCCTAACTACCCTTCTTCCCTTTTGGGGGTTATCACAAAACTGCTATTAAAATTCTTAAGTCCCTTTACGGAAGTAGATTTCCTGCTTTTGCTAGCAAACACAAATTGACCAATTGGATCCTTCTTTTTTTAAATTTTCAAGACAGGGTTTCTCAGTAGCTTTTTTTGGTTCCGGTCTTGGAACTAGCTCTTGTAGACCAGGCTGGCCTTGAACTCACAGAGATCCGCCTGCCTCTGCCTGGGATTAAAGGCGTGCGCCACCACAGCCCGGCTGGATCCTTCTTAAAACTATATACAGCCTGGTTATGTTAAGGTGGTCCTCTGCTTCTTGCAAGTGTGAAAAAAAATTCTTATTTCTAAACGCATGGTGTAGTATCTATCTTTTACTATTTTAAATTTATTTTTAATTCTTTCTATATGATTCAAAGAACTGCTTCTTTATTTTAACTGGTCTGTTGATCTTTTAACTTCAGCTTCTATTCTGTTCACATTTCGATAGCCATTGAAGATTGAAGGCAGTACTTTCAGCAATGACATGTAAGGACATTCTGATTATCAAATACTACTCACCACAACATAGTTTAATGAGTTCCAAGACTAGCTTGCTCTACAAAAGTTGAGTTCCGGGCCAGCCAAGGATATATGGGGAAACTCCTAAACATAAAACCCTGAAAGTTTATTTTGTTCAAGAGTGGGCTCAAAGTCTGGATAAAAATAACTCAGTGGTGGTGCATGCCTTTAATCCCAGCACCCTGAGGCAGGTAGATCTCTTGAGTTTGAGGCCAGCCTACAGGACAAGTCCCAGGACAGCCAGGGCAACACTGAGAACCCCAGTCTCAAAAAAGAAACAAAACCTTCCACAAAATACCAAATTGTTATTTGACACCTTCAACACATAACACATAGCATTTTATATCACTAATACTGTTTTCTTCCACCCCCCCCTGCAGTCTAAAAAAAAAAAACAGAATCAAAAACTGTTAACACCTTGATTGCTGTAAATATCAGCTTACTTAATCCTATTACCCCATGGTGTTTGCATTTCAGAAACGTTGCAGGGCTCCTCCAAAAGACTTAAGGCACTGACTAGGTAGGTTTATCTAACATCTACTGTTTTCAGACACCTTTAAACCCTCATAGTAAATAACCAATGCGTGACTTCTTTATTTTGATCGGTCACTGAAAAATAGTGAACTTCTTTCAGTTCTTTCGAACAGGTTTCAGCTACTACTTGCATAAAGCTAGCCGCAGAAAAGTGCTTAAGACTATGTGTTAAATGTTTATGAAGCATGTAAAAATCACACTGAAACAGTAAAAATTTCAGTTGTTTGGTTACACACAAAGTTAAGTGTGGTTTTCGAACATCCTCAACCCAAGACACACATACACACACAGTTTATTTGCCTACATGTGCCTGTGCTCCACGTGTGCAATGCCCACAGAAGCCAGAAGAGGGATGTCAGAACCCCCGGAACCAGAGTTACAGATGGTTGCAGGCAGCTATGTGGATGCTGGGAATTGAATCCGGGTCCGTCCTCTGGAAGAGCATCCAAGTGCTCTTATCTGCTGAGCCATTTCTAGAGCCCATTAGACTATGAGGTTGGTGAAAACAACATCTTCCCTTTATTAAAGGTGTGACAGATTTCAGGCATACAAATGTTTTTGTAGTTTCCTAGAGAATCCCGTCATTTGGTTAGTACCAAGATTTTCTAGGAGACGCCCATCACAATCACCAGTTTTCCATCTGTGAGAGCAACAAGCTTCTCCGTGATTATTATGAGATTAACGGTGAGGTGTTAACAACTGAAAACGGCACACATGGCAAACGAGACATGAAAACTAAAACCATAAACGCTGCAGCTCCATTTCCCCCTACAAAGGAAACCTCCGCAGCAACTAGTAGGAACTGCGTTTCCCAGTGTGCCTTAAAGTCTCGGCAGCACGTGGCCGCCGGGATTCTCTTCTCGCTTTTTTGTCAGGAGACGGTTGCAACGCGCAGCCAACATTCCTAAAACGCCCATTGGTCCACACCCTGGAGCCAGGCTCCCGGAGGGCCCAGGAGCTCATTGGTCCGCCTCTCAATGAACCGGACCACGCCGGTTCCTCCGTCACCCTAGTGGCAGTGGCGCCCCGAGGAACATTGCGAAGCCCACGTCGCGGCCCCCAAAGCCGGCAGCTGGAGCCACCGCCGGGTCCATACGTTGTCACCATCAGTCGCACTTCTACGCGCGATTCCATTCTCCACAGGGAGACCACCAACCGCTCTGCGCGCGACAGCCTGTGGTCGCGTGTGACCGCCCGGGTGAGAGCGGGGCCCCAGGTCCCTTGGCTCCCGCTGAAGGCATTAAATAGGTCCCGGGGCTGGTCGGCCTCCACCCCGCGGTGGCGAACAAACCCCTCCGTCGCCGCGCTCGCCCGGACCTCCCCTCAGTAACAGGTTACACAACCCAAGGTCAGGAGACGCGGGGGCAAAGCCCCGGACAGTCCCGGGGCGCTTTGCTGCAGGGCACGTCGGGGCGGCGGCGGGCCCAGCACTGCGACACGGCCGCTCCCGCCCAATCCCGCCGCCCGAGCGCCACGCGCGGCCGCCTAGCCCGCGGCGGGAGGCCTGCTCGCAGCCCCGCGGCCCAGGCCCGCCCAGCTCTCGCCCGCGCCGGCACGCCGAGCCGAACCACACCTGCCGGGGGACCGCACGCCCCCAGCCCCGGCCTCGTTACCTGAGCACGCGGCCGCGCCGGCCTCCTCCCCTCCCCCAGGCGGCCCCGCAACGGCGGCGGCGGGAGAAGCCAGTTCCCGCCCGCCGACCTGGCCCCACCTGAGGCCGAGCCTCGAACCTCGCCGCACCCCCAGGTCCCCCGCACCCACCTTGGGATGGTGCGAAGATCCCCAGATCCCTGGCTGGCGTCGGACTGCTGCCTGGAGAACCAGACCTCCAGCAGTTTCTCGGTTCCTTCGAAAAAATGTGCAGCTTCCATCACCGTGAGACTAGCGAACAACCAACAACCACAGAAAATCAACTAAATTAAATCTCTTCTCCCGCCGCTCCCGCCGCCGCTGCGGATTGTTCCAGCTGTGTTACTAAAGTTCAGGTTCCTTTTTTTTTTTGCTATAATTTTATATTAACTTTTTTTAAAAAAAGGACTAATAAAATTTTCCCGGCTATTTTTGTGAGCGAAAGTTGAACGTGAGTCTGTTGGAAATAGAGGCAGATACAGTTCAGTCTCTTGTAGTCCGCTGCTTTCCCGTTAGAGAGAGTTGAGCGAGCGCTAGCTAATGTCGCCGGCCATACTGTGTAAGCGAGGGCGCTGCGTGAGCGCAGACCTTATATAAGGCCTCCTCCCCGGCAGGCCAGGAAGTGACGCAATAGCCCCGCCCTCGGGGCCTCATAGGGGCAGCAGCGTGTCAGTCAAGCGTCGCCGAGCGCCGGCTGGCTGGCAGCGGGCCTACGGGGAGTGCAGGCGACTACCAGCTTGGTTGCAGATGGAGCGGCCGCTGTTCCTTGAGCGGGAGACTGCACTGTTGTCCGGCTGGGGACTGGGAAGCTGGGGTTGCTTGTGGAGCTGCTGGGGGAGAGCGGGAGCTAGACAAGGTTGTCCCCCGCTGCAGACAGCTGGTTAGCAGAGAAAAACGAGGGAGCCTTGAGGGGCGTCTGCGGGGCTCGGCGGGGGCGGTGACCACTGCTCGGTCGGCGTGGTGGCTTTGATCCTAAGAATTCACCGCTTCAACCCAGGGTTTTGGGGTTTTGTTGGTTTGATATATTTTTTTAAAAAAACCATTCTTTCATGTGCTTCCTCGAGACGAATGCTGCCAAGGCTATAAAACTCAACGTTGTCAGTGACGTACGCGTTGCCCGGGGTCGGACTGGAATGCGTTTTAATTCTGCTCGTGCTTTATCTGATGTGGGAATGAATGCCGCTCTCGACGGGTTTACACAATAGCCAGAAGCGTTGTCTTCCTATTTCAAAAGAGAGGAGCAATGGGGCTCCCAGCTTTGGAGGGCTCCTGCGCTATCTACCTCCCACCGTGTGCCTCGCCTAGCTTGGGAGTTGGCGGGGTGTAGCAGCCACCTTTATTACCCCGTGATCCCATAGGTCAACGGGTGGAGATTTAGTTTGCAAAACTTTCCAGGAACTAGATTTATTAAGCATAACACGAGATTGTTTGGCAATTTTTGTCTTTGTCTGTTCTTAAAGGGGTGAACTAATTGAAAGTATTTCTCTCAACCACCACCACCCCGCAAATTTACAGTGCTGTCTCAAATACCTAAGAAGGATTTTCAAAGATATATAATAATAGTATAAACAGGTACCGAGACTTTTCACTTAAATTTCACTAAAGCATAAATTAGGGGTCAAGTGAATTCGTTATTTATCTTAAGTAGTAAGAGATGGTGACAAAGTTATTAGTTACTTGGGAATACTGGGGTAGGGCGGAAGTCCCCAATCTTGTAAAATTAAAAACTATCATTGTCAATGACAAAGTGACCTTTCCCCATTGTCATTAAAGAAACACACTGTTGAAATTTGCTTTCTGCTACCCTGAAGCCTAGCTCTTCTCTTACAAGGGAATGGAGTCACACGTCTCCATGAGATGAGGTAGGTGCATAGACTTTTGCCATGGTTTTAAAACATCTAACTCAAAGTGGGAATTAGGACAAAATATAATGTTCCTTATTTATTATAATAGTTATTCAAGGAGGGATGTGGTTATACTTGGAATAAAGATTAAAGGAATATTTCTGTGTTTTACAAGCTGTTCAATTATTTGATGGTTGCTTATTGAAGTAAAGACTCAGCCTACTAAACCACCTCAAACACTAATTGTGGTATAAATATAATTTGACTTATAATTACTTATAATTAGTTGCTTTTTCAATTACTATTATGTTTTTCCCAACTTAATTTAAGTTAACGAAAGTGCCAAGAATCTTGGCAAGGTAAAACATTGTTAATTTAACACAGGATAACTTAGCTAGTGTCAATGAGTTGCATTGTTTCTTTGTAAAATGTATCATTTTTCTTAAGGGCCATTATTATATTATATTATATTATATTGCTCAAGTCACTTGTACTTTTAACTAAGGCAGTTAGTTTTTGCTTATATTTCACAAAACTGATTATGTCCAGAAGTTATTTCTCAACATTCTTAAACTAGTCTTTCGCCGGGCGGTGGTGGCGCACGCCTTTAATCCCAGCACTCGGGAGGCAGAGGCAGGCGGATCTCTGTGAGTTCGAGGCCAGCCTGGTCTACAAGAGCTAGTTCCAGGACAGGAACCAAAAGCTACGGAGAAACCCTGTCTCGAAAAATCAAAAAAAAAAAAAAACTAGTCTTTCTTTTTTTTTTCATTTTGGTTTTTTGAGACAGGGTTTCTTTGTAGCTTTGGAGCCTGTCCTGGAACTCACACTGTAGACCAGGCTGGCCTCGAACTCACAGAGATCCATCTCCCTCTGCCTCCTGATTGCTGGGATTAAAGGCACGTGTCACCACCTGGCTAGTCTCTTTCTTTCAATGACCATTCTTTCCTACTTTAAATAAAAATGAGAGTGATGGCTCAATTGTTACCAGGAGTTGTTGCTCTTCCAGAGGACAGAGCCTGCTTCCCAGGTACACATGCTGGCTCATATTCATCTGTGACTCCAGTTCCAGGAGATCCAGCAGCCTCCTCTCTGGGCACCAGGCAAGCAGAAGTTATATATGTACATGTATACATACAGGCAAACATTCATACACAAAAAATAAAAATAAAATTTTTTTCAGAAGTGTTTATTTTACATAGTTTTGCCATCTTTTGCTCTTGTCCTAAGAATTACAGCCAAGGACTTGAACTATATGGCCTAGGCTGGTATTGGTCTTGGGATCCCTCTGCTCCTGTCTCCTAAGTGCCAGGATCAGGACTTGAACTATATGGCCTAGGCTGGTATTGGCCTTGGGATCCCTCTGCTCCTGTCTCCTAAGTGCCAGGATCATGAACACTCATTTTCTTTGTAGTCACTCCCATTGGAATCTTACCCAGTTTGGGTGGAGAGAAGCTGGGGACTGAGTCCAGAGTTTCCAAATGCTAAACATATGCTGTACTACTAAGTTTGCGTGTGTGTGTGTGTGTGTGTGTGTGTGTGCTTGTGTGTACATGTATGTCCTCATCTTACATGTGGAGATCAGAGGACAACTTTGGGAAGTTGGTCCTCTTGTTTCACCACAGAGGTCCCAGAGATCAAACTCAGGTCATCAGACGTGGTGGCAAACCTTTACCCACTGAACCATTTTTCTGGCAGTCCAATCCCCAACTCTAAAACTCTTTACTTAACTTCTCCCTTCTGCTATCACCCTTTTTATTTTTCTGTAAAAACTCCCCCACAGGTGGCAAGGTAGATTCATATTTGTGGCCTGTTACTCTTCATTGCTCCTTCAGATCCCAGAAATGGGTTTTTATCCTTGGGGATTAAATAAAAGTGGTAGTTTTCAAGGTCCACATTTGGTCAAACCTAATGGTTCAGTCTTTAAATAGTTAGTGATGTAGTATATCAATCTCTCCCCGCAAAGCTGGGGTTGAACCTAGGGCCTCAGGCAAGCTAGACCAAATATTCCTAGCTGTGCCCGTCCTTCCTGAAACACTGCTCTGGGCTCTTGTGGTAGTAGCCTCTTTGATTTTCCTTTGACGTTGGATTTTCTTCCTCACCCTCTCCTCTGCCTTTCCCTTTCTATGCAGTCTTTCCCAGATGAGACTTACTTCGTCCAGTTAATACTTTTTTGTGGCCCATCCATCTAAAAATACCTTTCAGATTTCTGTCTTCAGCCCAAGCGTTTCCCTTTCATTCCAGATCTTGGCGGGGCTTGGACGACTCCAAGGCCAAATGAACATCCAGTTGCTAACATATCTAAAAAGGATGCTTCTTTTAACAGCAAAAATCCATCTCCTTCCCATAAAAACACAAAACCCAGATGTTCCCCAGTACCCTAGCTGACCTTTGCGCCTCTGCCCTTGCCTCTGTGATCTACAATATTCATCTGCAACTGTGGTTACTCAAACCCAAAGGTGTCCTTGATCTCTTTCCCGTAGTTCCTCAAGTGCAATCAGTTACTAGGGCTCATCAAGCACCTACACTATTTCCAAGATCTGTTCTCTTTTCTCTGTCCTCACTTCTCCCATTACACGCTCTGAGTCCTTAAACGAGTCTCTTAGCCAAGTCAGTTGATTGACTTGAGGCAGAAAGTGACATTTTTAGAGTACAAGCCTAGCTTTGACACTTAGAAAAAAACTGCATGCAGGGGCGGTTGGGGCACACACCTTTAATTCCAGCATTTGGGAGGCAGAGGTAAGCAGATCACTAAGTCTGAGTCCAGCCTGGTCTACATAATAAGTTCCACGACAGACATGGCTACACAGAGAAACCCTGTCTCAAAAAAACAAGGGAAGGGGAGAGCAAAAACTGTGTTATCCTAGCTATCCTTGTTTCATTTCTAAAATAACCTGACTGAAACCAAAACAAACAGAACCCCACCTTACTGGAGAAAGGGATTTATTCTGCTCACAATTCCAGGTTCTGTCCATCACCACTGGGACGTTGACATTGCAGTGGCTGGAACTTGAAGCCTCAGTTATATCCACAGTGAAGAGCAGAGAGGAGTGGCTATAAACACTGGTTCTACTCAGCGCCATTTCTCTACTTTTCGTTTAAAGATCGTCTATCTATCATCTATCTTTTTATCATCTGTATTTTTTAAATACATGCCTTCATGAATTTATGTGCACCAATGCTCCTGGTGTGTCCTTGTAGGCTGGAAAAGAGCCTGGAAGAAGAACTGGAACTACAGGCAGCTGTGATCCACTACATGGATGATGGGAACTGAGCCCTGGTCCTCTATAAAAAGCCACAATGTTCTTAACCACTGAACTATCTTTACAGCCCCAATTTCTCTACACTTTAACAGTTCAGGATGTAACCCTGAGGAATGGTATTGCCCACAGTGGGTTAGGTCCCAGCTCAATTAAGGCAGTCATGACAGCCACAGACAAGCCCACAGAATAGCTTTATCTAGACAGTGTTTCATTGAGGTCCTCTTCCCAGGTGACAGGTAAGACTGGCCATCACACTGGCCCTCTGTGCGAGCCCATCCTGAAGACTGCGCCACCACCATCATCATTCACTCAGTCAGCAAAGCCAAACTAGCCTTTCTACCTTTAGGTAAATGAATTATCTTTCTTTTACTCTTTGTAGGACTTGTTCACTCTTTTGTTTTTATCCGTGGAGACAGACATGTTGTCAGCATGTAGCCCAGGTTGGACTCAAACTCTTCGTCTTCCTCC